CGAAAGGAGTATTCTCACGCTGCTTTTGTAAAATCAATTCTTTTAGGATGAATAAGTGTTTCTCGGCGTTTTCTACATTAAGTAGATTGGCGTTATAGGCGGTACATATATATGTTCTTGGGATCCAGCCAATTTCGTTTCGGTGAGCATACGAAGCGATAGAATGTTTCCCTAAATGTTATCCAGTGTTCAGGACAAAAGTTGTCTCTGTTAATATAATTGTCTAGATCAAAGCCTATAGAGTTATTCTACCCGAACCGGGATTACGATTAAAGGGATCATAATTTTAATTACCACAATCTAACGCGTTGCTATCGTAGTTATAATTGTAGTTTCCTTGTTGGGAGGACGTTGCACGATATATGCATTAATATCACAATGAACATTAACTACCTTCTTTAATATAAAAAGTGGAGCAGGCCTGTAGCCCGTTAAGTCAATGCATCCAGTAGAATGATGAACTTTTACTCTCGGTTATATACACCTGTATGTAATAACGTACTGTTTGTTTGTGCAGTTCAAGGATGGTGAATAGCATGAAAAGTTTTAAACTGCCTTTGTAGGACGTCTGTAAGCAGTAGCAACCATTCATTAAAGCTTGAGAACTGTAACTATAAGTGCTTTAAGTGTGTGTGCAACAAATTGATGTTCGACATATTCAAAGAAACCAGCTCAGATCTTTTGCGCAGCACCGCTTTAACAAACATTTATATAAATAAAAGAGAAACCAACAATATATATATATATGCAACTATGTAATTATTGATCAAAATCTTGAATTAAACTAAACCTAATAATATTAGTTTGGGGAAAAAGAAATCCATTATTTTTTGATATGAACTTCAGGACTTTATTTAACATGTTTCGGATTGTCCGATTTGGGTCAAATATGCACCGTTTTGTTGTACGATTTGTTGCCATTTTAAAGGTAACTTCAAAATGCCTCTCTCATAGAAGTCCTGGTCTCTATTTGCAAAAAACTCTAGTAGTCGATTTTCACAATCCTCCCTAGATTCCAATTTTTTATCATTAAAAAAATTTTGCAATGCAAGAAAAAGATGATAATCGGTTGGTGCCAAGTCCGGACTGTATGGCGGATGCATTAAAACTTCCCAACCAAGCTCCCGAAGTTTCTGGCGAGTCACTGTAGATGTGTGTGGCCTAGCGTTGTCCCGGTGGAACACGACACCTCTCCTGTTGGCCAATTCTGGCCGTTTCTGGTCAATCGCTATCTTCAAACGGTCCAGTTGTTGACAGTAGAGATCAGAATTTAGCGTTTGGTCATATCGAAGCCACTCATAATAAATAATCCCCTTCCATTCCCACCAAATGCATAGCAAAACCTTCCTGGCCGTTAGTCCTGGTTTGACCACCGTTTGAGGTGCTTCACCACGATCGTTTTCGCACAGGGTTATCGTATGTGATCCATTTCTCATCTCCAGTTACCATCCGTTTAAGAAATGGGTCTATCTCATTCCGTTTGGCCAAGGCTTCACAGATGGAAATTCGATCCATCACGTTTTTTTCTGTTAATTGGTGTGGCACCCAAACATCGAGCTTCTTTTTGAATCCAGCTTTGTGTAAATGGTTTAAAACTGTTTTATGGTCGCGTTTTTAGCTCCTGGGCGATGTCACGACTGCTAACATGCCGGTCAACTACGATCATTTCTCCGATTTTATCGACATTTTCGACGACCGGCCTACCTGTGCGAGGTGCATCTTTAACATTAAAAATTCCTGAACGGAATCTACGAAACCAAAATTGCACATAATTGGTTGTTACAGTATCGGAACCATAAACACCATTCACAATTTTAGTCGCCTGGCTTGCATTTTCGCCTTTGTCAAAGAAAAACTGTAAAATGTACCGAATTTTCTCTTTGTTCACTTCCATTTTTAACACGCTGTAACTCACAACTGAATGCACCAAACAAAAAACAGCAAAAGAATTTTTTTACTGCGAAATGTACAGTATGTAAATGTACAGTATCGGAAATTGTTTGATCGATACTTACGAGAAATCTATCAGTGCAGCCATCTACCGAAAAAATAATGGATTTCTTTTTCCCCAAATTAATACATTATATACGCGTTTTAAGGGACGCTTTCGTTTAAGCAAACATTTTCAAAATTTAAAAAAAAATAATAATAAATTCGGGGAAAAAATCGTGTTACACATGCCCATGCTATTTTTTATGTAATGACAATGTTGTTTTATTGAATTAATTTAATTTAATTTGATTATCAAATGTGGTTTAAATATTATTTTTTAAAAATAATACAAGGAATCCAAAATATGTAAAAGATCTCAATTTTCAGTAAACTTTTCAATCATTAAAGTAATTAATAAAAAAAAAATAATAACAATAATTGATCAGTTTGTTGAAAACTGAATCACGGGGTTTGTGCTTCTGTCCGTCCTCTTTGCAGAGATGATCAAACGACGACAAAGCTTAATACTTTTTTTACATTGTTTTTTGGAAAAATATATAAAACGGAAAACCTGAAACTGATGAAAAACACCTTATACGATTTGGATGTACAGAAATGAAATATAAAGGCCTCTTGGCAAGCATAACGTAAAACTTCATCATAGCTTTATGAATCCTTTGCAACATAAGAAATAAGTTGAATTGTACTGGCGGCCGTCCCACCTACTTTATTAACCCCAATAGCATTTCCCAAAGCCACCACGCAACACTTGAATACACGATCAAGCAAAGTACATATGGACGGGACGGATTATTGTAGTATAGTGGTAAAAGGTGTAATCCTACCCTTTTTCGTTTTTACCTTACACTTGTCACGTTTTGGGGGAAACGAAAGAGACTTTCAGTGCAACTTTGGCCTCCAATGTAAATACACTAGCACTTAGCAAAGCTACTCAAAAATTGCTACAAAATCACGAGCCGTGCTCGAGGGGGGAGAGAACACAAGCGATAAAGGTGCTTCTCAGGTTTTTGGGCAAGAAAATCTTTCAGATTGTGGTTTAGGAACATGTGTTGTCGAAAGTATGTGTCAAACAGGTCAACAATCGGTTGGACTTTTATAATGTGTGTGCTATGACAAAGAACATGGCTACGCCTGGAGCTAGCCTTTGTATACAAAGACGAAGTCCGTATTAGTTTTTTCTAAGTTTAGTATAATTTTGATTAGTGTTATGTAAAATTAATAATAAATTAGTAGAACAATCAATTCTTATACAAAAATATTTACTTTTATTCAGCTTAAAATTTAATATTGCACAGAACGTTCTTATTAATGATCCACTATTGAGTGATCGGGAAGAAATCGTGTAATAATGATGGGAATTTTCTTTTGTTCTTTCATAGCAATTTGCAAGGGATCTGTCTCGCCTTTCATTACAATAATTGGAGCGCACATAGCTATTTGCAAAGCTCTTGTACCTAGTACAAGACTAATTTAAGGTAAGGGTCACTAATTTATAAAATATACATATATATTATTTGCGGGAAGCAAATTCCAGTTTATTATGATAAATATAGAAATAGTATAGTGTATACTTTTTACTATACCTTATATATATACGCAATAACGTTCCATTTTCTATCCATTTATCGCGCGACTGCTGCATTTGATTCCTTTCTTGACCAATTGATTTGTCGCAGCGCAGAATATTCTAGTAATGTGATCTCCACAGATTGTGACGGCTTTGTTTCTGATCTGCCCGATGCAAGTGTTTCTAAGAGAGATTTCAATAAAAGCACTTAGTAACTACCAGATTTTAATGATGATTTAAAAAAATCAAAAATAGTTTGCCTACTTTTAGGAATTTTCAATTTAAAGAAAATTCAAAATTTTCTCACCCTGTTGCCAACTATAACTATAACTATTAGCAGAATTGAATCTTTGTTTTGCCGACGGCTTTGCATTTTAACAGAAAGGAATCCCTTTGGTCCGTTATATAACAGAATTGAATCCCTTTTGTCGATTAAGTTGGTCATTTAACATAGCTGATTGGCGTTAACATTTAAGTTGTTAAGTTGGGCTTTTAACCATTTATTTATTATAAGCGACTCTGTGCTTTGCCTTTCAATAGAGAATTTAGCGAGGGCGGTGTTTAAAAATTGTCACGGTTTAATTCTAAGCTAACTTGTAAAATATTATAAATGCATTAAAACTTTTATTTCCATATACATACACCTTTTCAGAAAAAGTTCTTCCTCTTAAAATTCTCAGTAAAAGAAATTCCAAATGTTTTCCTTGTTAACTAAAGTGAGAATAATAAATAGAATATGGCCATCTTGTGTCCTATAGGAAAGTTTTACACTTGTACGCTCTCTATCAGGTAACTTTCGAAATGTTTAGCTAATTTGCAGAAAGAACGTAATACTCTATGCTAACTTGCAAAGCCGCCAGCTTTATAACTCAGGAAATCTGTTAAAAGAGCTTTATAACTCAGGAAATCTGTTAAATGTACATCAAAAGTGAAATTGAAAAGTGAAAAATTATTCAGATTTAAGAAGATCACAAAGCGTAAAAAAAGATATCAACACAAGAAATTTCATTTCCAAATCGTTGTAAATCTTTCATAAAAAGTGCAAATATTTCTTCACTAGTTTGTATGAATTTTTATTAAATTTTTTTAATACTTTTGCTAATTTGCAAAGCCGTCGGCAAAAGTCACCCAATATGATCATTATCGGGTTGCTGCATGCGTTTGTACAAATGTAACAATTCGTCATTCCGTTTTATTTTATCATCGTTTTGATTATTATTATTGCATTTTTCATTTTTTTTTTTTATATATTAAATGTATATTTTACTTTCTCTTACCTTTTCAATAATGCAAAAATGAAATTTAATTTACAGCAAATTATCCCCAACAAAAATTTGTGTTCTTATTTATTGCTTTGGGGATATTCTCTGGCATTAGAAGGGTTTTTTTCTTTTACGCGATATTGGCAATTCCTTTAATGCGAACAAAAGCAGGAAGAAGCAAGCAAGGGAGACGATTTTAATAAACTTTGCTACTGACTAGCCTAATTTTCTTTTCTGTTTAATTTCGTAATTAATTTTTAACTAATTAATGGAATTTTACAAACAATATTAAAAGTAAAAAAAGTTGAAAACTAAGCTCAACAAACTTAAGAATAACTGCAAGAAAATTTAGGTAAACGCCATCAAGAAAAAAAAATTTTTGTGTGTGGTTAAAAAAAAAAAAAAAAATTTATCAAAAAAAGAAAGAAAATGAGAAATGTAATCAATTTTATTGACAAAATTCTAAGGAGCAATAAATTCTTAGCTTAATGAATCATTCGCCGATTTTTATCTCTAACGTGTTCATTGCTTATTACCGCATAAACAATAATTGTAATAATAACTTCGTTCTTGTGCGGTGCATATTTTATAATTTTTTCTTTTTCAATTAAATTATATTAAATTAATCATATCTTTGTTTCGTCTTTCTTTTCAATGCAACAGAAAAGCAGAAGAATTTCCCATAGTTTCCTTTCAATTAATAAATATTCGACTGATTCAACTGATATTACTTAGTGTGTGCAAGTGCGTGCGTGTGCGACTGTGTTCTATTTACTCTCTTGCAACGCTGCAGACGTCAAGAGCGCACAAAGCACCAAATCAACGTCATTTAACAAAACAAATAATGACGGAATATAAACTTGTTGTTGTGGGTGCTGGTGGTGTGGGCAAATCTGCTTTAACCATACAATTGATACAAAACCATTTTGTAGATGAATATGACCCAACCATTGAGGATTCTTATCGTAAACAAGTGGTCATAGGTCAATAAAAATCAAACTTAATATTAATGATAATAATGAAAGTAAAAAAATTTGATAATCATTTAGATGGTGAAACCTGCTTATTGGATATATTGGACACTGCCGGTCAAGAGGAATATTCAGCTATGCGTGATCAGTATATGCGTACTGGTGAAGGTTTTTTACTGGTGTTTGCTGTCAACAGTGCAAAATCGTTTGAGGATATTGGCACATATCGTGAACAAATTAAACGTGTTAAGGATGCCGAAGAAGTGCCGATGGTGTTGGTGGGTAATAAGTGCGATTTACAAGCGTGGGCCGTTAACATGAACCAGGCACGCGAAGTAAGTGAATCATTGATATACAACATTTTTTCGTGCAATTATTAGTGTTATGAATATATATATTTTAGATAGCCAAACAGTATGGTATACCGTTTGTAGAGACTTCGGCAAAAACACGTATGGGTGTGGACGACGCTTTCTACACATTGGTGCGCGAAATACGTAAAGATAAAGAGCAAAAAGGGAGAAGAGGACGTAAAACACATAAACTGCAAAATCGGCGTTTTAAATGCGAACTTCTTTAATTATACCTTATCTGTGGGTTAAGCAGAATGGAATGATTAGCTGAGCTGACTGGAGTTTCGTATTAATTTCTTGGAGGCAGCATAAGAGACCGGCTTCTTATTTCATATCTTCATAATGCCTTCAGTGGTAGTTATTATTATTTTTGAAAAGTCTTGCTCTTAAAGTCATCACTACATCTTCATTTTTTTCTGAAAGCAATGCAATAGTTTGCCACATCTTTTTCATTTTTTTTTTTTTTTTGCTTTATATTCACCGCTTACAAAGGTGATATGCGAATTTTGTCTTTCAACGAGAAATACGCTTAAGGTAAATGCACGCAATTCTTTTTACACGGTGGATAAGTTTCGTAAAGGCCGCAAAAAATGCAATATCTAGAACACCTCAACGAGATAAACATCTTATTTTTTAATCATGTAACAAAATAAAAAATGGTATAAAAGAGGCTACTCTCAATTTAGTCCGCTTTATACAACGGCCGTACAAAAAGATATGGATATATATATTTGAGATTTAGCCAACTTCAGGCCGATAGTCCCTCTGTTTGGTTGCCACGAAATAATCTAAAAAAAAGAAAAAAAGTAAATGAATAATAACCATTCTTAGTCATGCTTGATTGTTTCCCGGTCTGATTATCGTAATCACAACATCACTTCGAGAAAAAAAAAATATTTAGCAAATACTCACGACTTGAAAACCATCTGAATGTTGAAATTTGTCCCACTCGACACACCTTCATAATAAACAGAAAAGTCTGTAATTTTTAGATGACGAATATCCGACATTCACCTTAAGGCGAAAAAAGTTTTTAAAATCTTTTTTGTTTCTTTATTTTATGAACAAGTATACATTTGTTATTTTTTAATTTCATACATACGCACAAAGGATCGTAAGAGAATTTCTGAGGGTCTTAAACAAGCGCTTAATGTTAAAAAAAAAAAACAAAAATTCGGTGCTAATATATATTTTTTTCACTAATTTAATTCCATACAAAAAAAAGCTTCATAGATGGACAGACATTTCGCTACAACGTAACAATTTATAATATTACTTTTATGCCATACGACAAGAAATCTATATTTTTCTTTTTAAAAAAAGCTAAGATCAAAGTGCTTTCTTTTTATAACTAATATTAAAAACAAAAAATTAAGTTAAATGACATAAAAATGTTTTTGTTTTTAAGATATAATTTTATAACGATTTATATTTTGCCACCATATGCTACGCATACATTATGGAATTTTTACTTTTTTTATTTTATACTCAATCAATTGATACATGATTTTTTTGTTTATTTTACACTTATATGTAATATCTACGTGTATCCAATTTTCTATGTGTAATAATAGCAATCGTGCAAAATAAAAAAAAAAATCATTTGAAAAAAATTTCTTTTTCATTCTGGATATACATTCAATCAATTAAATATATTATGAAATAACTGAAAAATTAAGATAAAGAAAAGAAAAATAGATAAATAAATAAGTATATTTGTCTTATCAATAAAAAGGATATAATAATAAAAATGAATAATTTTCTGTACTAAGCGTAGCCAGCAAACTATGTTTACTTTGAGAACCCATCCAGATTCTAAACTCCTTCAATGTCGCTACCAAAATTTGACCAAGTGCTTATACTGGCTTTATAGGCCCCTCACGTTTTTTTGAAATTTCTTTTACAATATTATTACAAAACACATTCTATTTATTTTAATAAATAAAATTTAATCCATTTATATTGATTTGCAGAAAAATTTTTTGTTTATGTAAATACACATGGAACAGAGACGCAATTATCATACAAAACTTTTAAGAATAAATACCGACACAATCAAATCAGAAAACTTCTTGTGCTCTTCTTGTTTTTCAAAATCGGATAGTGGAGGATGTGCACAATCCGAACCTTCGACACGAGCTATTATAATAAATTGCCTTATCTTGCATAATAAATGTAATTGTTTGTTGCGCTTATATAGTTGTACTGGTCTCTGTTAGAATTTATACCAAACAAAACCTTGTATTCATTTTATGGTGAATTTTTGATACCATCTCAAAATAATGCATAAAATATATTTGTTAGATGGGAGAGTACCAATTGGTTAACTTCGCTCATTTTACATAGAATCTTTAAACTCTAAGAAATACTTCCAAAAGTTTTCTTATCACCCGTAAGCATAGTCTTTTGTCTACTGTTGGCTTATTTGCAGGCGAGTTCGCGTTCACTTCTTAGTCTTGCCAATGTCTGCTGCTATATCAATGGTGGGTGACTTGGATTCCACTGGAATAAAAAGACTGCTTTTATTTACGTATTTCAACTAAACTCATCTTTATTTCATTTCATAAGCTTCTCTTTAAATGCAAATTTTCAATTGTGTAAAAAAAAAAATTTCTCCCGAACTTAGAAGTATTCAATGGGGAAAGAAACAAGTTAAATAATATTCAGCTTTAAGTATCTCATACACATGCGAAAAACAGGAAAAGAGCATAATGCTTTTATAGGAAATAATAAATAAGTATAGGATGGGAATAAATGGGTTTAATAAATTTCAGTCAACGAACAGCCATTTCTCCAGGATTACTACTATTGAAATATTGGCAGGCAATATTTAATAATAAATTTGCTAACATCTGAGAGTAAGCGTATATTTTGTTGTCTCCAGTAATATGCGTATTATTTTATGTTAGCCTGAAAGTATGGCACATAACAGTAATAAATAAAAGTTCTACGTAATAATAGCGTACTACCGTATTTTTTCATTATAAACATCGAATTCCAAGTAGAATGCTGTTTTCAATTGTAAGCAAAAATGTTTTCTCTCTTGCGAACATGAGTGTGGAATATATAGAAAATAATCCGTGGTAGTTGCGTCAAACTCCAAATGGTTGTTTATAAATTGATAAAAGCCGGGGCGCAACCAATAAACAAATGCAAAAATGCATGGATTTAGTATAATTAATATTTTTTTTTGTTGTTAAATAACTTATTATTCTTTGCCTATTTTCATCATAAAACAGCAAAAGTTATACTTCTCTTGCCATATAATAGCTTACCTTTTATGATAACTCTTATATTAAGTGATAAGAATTCGAAAAATGGAAGTAGTACGACTACGTTCTTTGGTCCAGGAATTTGTTCATTTGATTTAAATTCACAATTCTCATAATAAATTTTAACCACATCTTTCTCGTTCTTCATTTAATCAAAATAATTTTCACCGCATGTTTTCCTGTAATAATTTCAAAATTTGACCTTATATACGAAGTGGTCGTAAAAGTAATGCGATTCAATCCATGGGTTAAATAGGTTTCCTTTTTAGGCCAAAAGATGTCAGAGATGGATTTACGAGCGAACCCGGTATCGAATTTATATTTTGCATTGATAGTTCTCGTTAAGGACAATTGATTTGATGGTCGAAAGATGTTTGGTGGGTCCAGCGTGTTTGATCGCTATAACTGGTAGTGCCCCCTACATAATGCTGACGATTAGCGAGAAATAAGTTAAGAAAGAAGAATGTAGGGCACTGCCGCAACATGGAAGGTATGTACTTGCTCAGGAAATGTTGCGTTATGTTTATCGATTGAGGTGCGGCCGCAATGCAATCATAATTAAAGAAAAATCAACCCTCCTATTATCGCAACCCTACATGGGACCGCTACCAACAACAATCGATTAATTTACAAAATGCCTTCTGGTTCGTCACCCGATATATAAATAAGGGAGATATTTTCGAAAGCTGTAGAAACATAGCTGGCTTTAAATTCAATTTACATGATAGCAACAAGGTTAGAATCCTTAGATAGATCCTTAAAATACAAAGCATTCGCTCAGCGCACTTTCCATAGATTTTTATACAAAGCTCAGAACTGATAGCGTTTTTTATAGAGAATGCGATGTACCCGCAAGACCAACTGTTTGATTTACCCGTACAACATGCAGCGACAAAAACAGCAACCAAACTTTTATACCTGCCCATTAAAGCCAAGAACAAGAACTGCTCAATACTCTCATAGTTCATTTAATTATCAACGGAAACATCATTAAGGCGGAAAGACATTATGTCATCGGTAGCGGACGGTACAGATGTTTTTATTTCGAATTGATTTGTAAACATTCTACATTTGTATAAAAAAGCCTACTTGAGTGGGCTGCAATTGTGACCAATTGGATTTCATGACATTCATCAGGCTATTTGTAGAAGAATCATGATGGAATATCAATTATTTATATGTCATTCGGGCTCAAGCCTTTTCGCCAATTGTTTGCCCAAATCAACATCCCATTGACCAAATGAGCTAATATCGCAAATAGCACTTGTTGACTACAGACGCATTTGTAGCATTTGTTTACTTATTAAACTTTTATTATCATATCCTTGCACTTATTTAACTTATTAAATACTGTATATTTTAATACAGAATTTTTTTTAAAGTGTTTTAATACACTAAACTTTTTTTAATTTTATAATTTTTTGGTTTTTTTCTTTATTTTAGTTTTATGTAAATGTTTCACAAACTTCTTCTTCCAATTTTTAACCTTTCTAATTCTTTTTTAAATTTTTTTTCGCACTTGTTCTTTTTAACTATTGCATTAATAACCCATTAAAACCTTTACTAGAAATAAGATCGGCTTCCAAGTTAAGTTCCAAACCCAGCCAACGCTTACTTATAGTTGGAGATGAGATGAGCTTCAAGTTTAATCGTTTTGTGCCATGAAGCAATAATATCAGATTATTGCTGTTCGATGAAGAGGTAAATGATGATTCGTTGCCATTTGTTCCACCTAACTATCCAACTACCAATTAATACTAAAAACTAGTACAAAGTACATAAGGAGAAATAAGGGAAAGAAAGATAAAACGCATGTACTCAACTAGCACAGAGGCACACCCACAATCAACACAGAACCAAATCGCAAGAGAATCCCTAAGCCATTGCAAAGATGCAGAATGTTGGCAAACGGTACAGTAAGCAACCCCAATCAATTTTCGAATCGTAAAGAGTTATTAAAGTTAAAAGTTAAAATACGAGATAAGCATATCCGGCGTATTAAGCAAAATGGTTTTCATAGATTTTATAGAATCCAATATTGAAATTAAGTCATTTAGGTTTGTGGAAATAATCGTAAACGGGCTGAAAAGCTCATATTTATATGAACATTGAAATAGCTTAATAAAAGGAAAAGCGGTTGGGGCTTATCTCACCAAGCAATGTGGGCGAATCGATACTACCATTAATTAATTTAACTAAGAAGGAGAAACCAAGAATTACTTTACTTTTCTCAACTGACGATAACTATAACAGAAGCAACTTCTTCGTAAGGGCAAACAGCAAGAATTGCTTTTGAACAGCTTCAATTGAATCTACATAACACCTATAGGCGGGACATCGCACAACGGAGGCATACTCAAGTATTGGTCTAACCAAGCAAATGTATAACGTTTTTGAACCACATCGTAATGAAACCAAGCGCGGACCTAGCTTTACTTAAAGAGGTGATGAACTTAAACAGATCCTTGAATGATCTGTTATGCAGGTATGAGCTTATCCATTTCACTGGACATAAAGCGAAGCCAGAGGCTCGGAGTTTGAAGATCAATAAGTTATAGTTAGCTAAGTCAAACGCGAAAGTTTCGTAAAAACAAGATTTACCTCTCCGAAAGCCACGCTGGAATGGAGAAATATAAGATTCAATAGCAGACGCTAGCAGCTGAGTAACAATTCGCTCAAACAATTTAGTTAAGACATTCGATTTCTCTGCAGTTGTCAACGTGATGTCCATTTCCATATTTGTAAATTCGAATAAGGAATTTACTCTGCCAACACAAAGGAAAAACTCCTAATTTTAAAGATTGATTAAAAATCATTGAAATAACACCACATGGCTCGATTAGACATGTTTGAGGGGATTCCATCAGGTTCAAGCGCAGAACTATATTTTAGAGACTAGAAACCATCTTACCCATCATTTTCTGAGATGACCAGATTGGGAATCAAAACCGAGCTAGATGTCGGATACGAATAGTTGATTTAGCAATTGAAAAAATTCATCGGAAGTATTCGGCAAAGGGGTTCGAGCTTTCAATATCATCAGAGGAGTTAGATTCAATACAATGAACATGCGATTGATATATATTATGTAAAAACAAAATTTTTATAAATTTTTTCTATATAAATTTTATCGTAAAACTTGGCGACTATACGACCTGAATTAAAGTAATATTCCGCGTGTACACAAATTTTCAAAACGTAGTAATTAACGTATTGAATTTCTTCAGAAGTAATCGTTAATTTCGCTCGTTTCTATAAAAAAATCTCATAAGACTCGGTAACCCTAGTCTGTGAGAATAAGTAGTGAAAGCACAATGTGAGGAAATTTACAAAAGTATTAAAATCGAAGTTACATTAAAAAATAATATTTAGGAAATATAAAAATTTTATAAAAAATATAAATTTTTTGAATTGTTATCACCAAATGTAAGAGCTATTCTTGTATTGAAAAATTTAACAAGTTTATTAAACATAAAAGCCATAGATATGCATGTGTATGCGATTGTTTTTGTCAGTTGAAAATTTCTTATTAAAACAAAATGAAAATGCGAATGAATAATGCATTATTTAGTTGAAATAAGTTTTAAACTTAGGTTTTTATTTTTCTGTAACGAGACATAAAGTTAACTAATAAATCTAGTTATAATTTGGTTTCTACAAAACTCACTCATTATCAAGCGTTATCTCGGTTTTTTTTTTTTTCAATTTAAAGGAGAAAATGCAGCTGCAACTCTATTGTAAATTTTTTCTCTCTCGTTTTTCATTTTCGAATGATTGCGGGTGATGGCAACTTTAATCATTTGTATATATTTTTACATTCTCTTGTATACCGTTTACATATTATCTGACAGTTTTCCATTGTTACATTTTTTCTTAAGCTCGGTGCACTTTACTTTGCGTGCGATAAATATTAATCCTTCCTTGTTTTTTTTTCTAATATGAACAAGATTTCCTTCTTTAAGCAAAATAATTTGTAAAAAATTGTTTATTTCAATTAGCAAATAGCGAAAAATTATTTTAATATGTTCAGATAAAGCATATAAAAGTTGTTTCGTGTTACATAAATTGATAAAAAAAGCGAATAGTCGATCATATATACAAGAATGCATACATAGGAAAATAAAAGAAGTGTGCCCGTCGTGTATGTGTATATAAAAAACGGGAAGTCATAAAAGGTCGAAATTATCAAAAAAAATTGCATGTAAGCATTCGAAAAAGCCTTCCTTTAGCTTTAAATTTACATGTAAGATTAAAAACTTTTTTAAATTTCCAAAAAAAAAAGAAAAAGAAAAAATAGATGAAAACTTCGAATATATATATGGGTGAATAGTTTATAGTATCATATCTCTCTTGGGGTAAACGCCCCAAGTTTTTCTTATGCGGCAAATGCCTTCGAGTTCGTTAGATGGTGTTTTTGGTGCGCGGGTATTGAATGTGTGCTAAAAACAAATGTGTGTACCTTGGATTTGTTTATATTTTGGTATTTTATACTTTTAACTAGTGTCCTACAATTAATGACGTCATTTATAAAGCAATCTTTTTTTTTTTTTGTATGTATTTCCAATTGCGTGCCGTTAATCATTAACACATTCTTGATTGCATAAAAGCATTTGTGTACATGCCCTCGAGCATATATGCATATATGGATGCACGTAGTTCTTTTTTGCGATTGGTTTTTGTACCGTTGTGTATTCGTACGAAAATTTCCATAGAAGAGGTCACATGAAGCGACTGACTGCATCCCCCCCCCTACTCTACGCAGAATTCTTCTAATTTATTTCAATTTACTTATTGTATCCCCAATGAAGATAAAAACTCAGAGTCGGAGAATCTCAATTATAGTTGTTTGACGGTATTTGGCTGTCAGTTAATTGTAAATCACTTACATGCAAGCATTTTTATTATTCTTCAGCAATAGTTCTGCTCTGGGCTCATTAACATAATAGTTGTATTTGTATTCCGGACGAATGCATTTGTTTGTTTGTTGACAGGCATCAATCTTTTTCTATGCAAATTATTATTATTATTGTAAAAAATTACAAAGCAGTTGATAAGTTTATCTGTAGCTGAGTTAGGCTTTTTATTTCCTTTATCGCAATTAAGTGCGAATTTTTTCTCTTCACAATATTTGTTTACATGGGGGAGAAGCTAATTATGTGACCTTAGAACACTGTCATTTGGATGAAGCGTTAATCATGTGATAAGTCAATGGTTTCACATGAAGAAAAAATAAGTTCAACGTTTAAACCTGAAACTATTAAACCGCTGTGCCGGTATATGATGGTCGTACCTAGAAATAATTTCATTTTCTTAGGATCGTTTGGAAAAGTTGTGGGGACGGCCAACATGGGCAATAAATTCGTTTCATGTCAAAGATGCCATAAACCATATGTTAGTTTAATCCTGTTTTGATTGGGCCTTAGTAGAACTTTTTGATAGTTGAATACCACAGAAGGTTGAGGCCCCGACCAATAGGCCAAAAAATATTTTCCAGACATGTTGAGCCTCTTAGAGGATTTACATTGTTTTAAAAAATCATTTCGTTGTGATGCGATATGTAATGCCATTCCTAAGAACTGGACGTAACGCCTTTAAACCAGACAAATACACGTCCAAGAAGTAATTTACCAGAAAAAGATCCTATGTGCAACCTCGCCAATTAAATCCTTGCATTTCAGATATATAGAACTGTGGGATGACGTTAGTAGTATTGGTCGCGAAAAAGGAGAGAGTGTAGAGAAAGATGGAGTTCTTTGATAATACCCCGTCATACAATTACTGTGATAGTTTCAAGCAGCGTGAAATAATCTTTTTCTTAAACGAAATTTCTAAATTTTCCATTGCTATAACGGTCTGGAAATTTACCCGATGAGATTTGTTCGTTGATCGAAATCATTTTCAAAATTTTCAAACGAACTGACTTTTACCGTTTCTCAGTTAATACTTACAAAGGAGGCAATGAAGCTTCTTAGTCAAAGTTCTTATAATTTTGTGCTATCCCTCCCTCGCTGTCCTTCGAAATCCGAATCTCGAAACTCAGACTAAAAGTAGGTAAAAAGTGTTCGTAAATAATACGCAAAATTTAAGTTTTGAAACGAATAGGAATCATTTGCAAACATGGTGCCAATAGTGGTGGCGTCAACGCGTCTAATCGCGGCCGTAGATTTAAATACACTTCCTGGCAATGATTTGCAACCTATTGAAATGGTTCCATTTGAAAGCTGCTTCTACTTAAAAGTTGTCTTGAATATGTACTTGGGTTACTTAAAATGGTGAAAATATTTCCGAAAGGCTTTCTGCAGCTTAATAAAATCTCTATTGATGTGGCAGAAATTCAAAATTTGTCCCGAATCGAAGTTTGAATTCTGACACGTAAGAAAGTGGTTTGACCAAATCTTTTATGCCTAACGGTATCCCAAAAAAGACTAAATAAAAAAGGAAAGGAATTAAATTTTGGGTGGGCGCGGCTCCTTTTTTTATGCGTTCAGAATACAAGTGGAAATCTGTATCGTGCTTCTGTCGCAGTTTATGAGTAACGAGCAAAAAACCACAAAAAATAGAGGTGCTGTCAAGTTTTAACACATAGGCGTGTCTTTTGAAAAGTTTAGGTCACGTTTCAGCTCGTTTGCCAATTCCTAGGCTATATCTTCATTACTGCTAACTGGAGAGTTCTTACCACCAATACTATGCAGTTGGACAGACGGACAGATGGACAGGCTTAAGCGCATTCTTAAGTTGTAACAGTCCGGAAATTTGAGTTTTCAAAATTAGTTTGTGCTCGTTATAAAGGTATTAAAAAAACTCAAATTGTAATACACTGTAATATTGGGTAGGCGGGGTGAATTTTTTTTCCATCTGTACAGGCACTACAGAATTGCTCTTAACATGTACATTCAAATTTTTGTAGATTTATCTGCTGTACTTTATGAGCAACGAGTAAAAAGCCAATTTTTAGACCTTTTGAAAAACGTATGTGTGTTCGCTTTACCTAGTTCTGTAGGCGCGTTCTCCGAGCGAGTTGGCCGATCTTGAATACCACTCTGCATCTTTCTGTTGAACTTGAAGTCTATAGCTCAGAGTCATTTTTGCTAGCTTGGGACAAATATTACAAAGACGGACGGACGGACATGCTTAGATCGATTCATATTTTGATGTTGATCAAGAAGATATATCTACTTTGTATGGTCTGTGATGCTTCCTTCTAAGCGTCGCAAACGTTTTGACAAAATGAATATACCCCCATCTCTCCGTGATGGGTATAAGGAAAACATAAAAGTTTCGGGCAATTGTGTCTGAGAGTTGGAGTATTTTGGGGGCATTTAGGTTCAATTATATTAAATATTATTTCACAATATAAACAATTAAAAATTTTGTACAAATCTGTTGAATTGCTTTGGCTTGTGCGCAGGTAATGTGGTGGTAGTGAGTAATTTTGTTCTCTTTGTGAAAAAAAAATAAGGTTTTGAAAATTTGTCTAATAAATACCTTAAAATGCAGCATTTGTTTTTTTTAAACGTGAAAAGTAAACTTGAACGCTGCCATCCACATTATCCTGTTTCAACTAAGTTAAAAGATATATATTTTTAATAAGAAAGAAAAACAACCAACATCTATGCAAAAAAAAATTCCGTCTTTAGTGTTCAATACTGGAAAAATATTTTTAAATTTACAGTCTTACAGTCTCTTAGTTAAGTGTTTTACTGATAAAGAAAACAATCAAATCTCACTGCCGCCAAGCCAGTTATCAGCATCAAGCCGCTACTTATAACATAGAACAAGAGAAAAATATAATTTTTGGCCATATTTTCTGTTCTTTATTCCCGCTTGACAACAGTGAATCATGTCGGAGGAAAATCATGTGGATGTCGCTAGCAGTACAAATGCAGGGAAACAAACTTCCCCTACTTCAGACACGGTTGATCATATTGATGAGGAAGAGCGGAAGCACAAAGAAACACATGAATCTGATGATCAGACTAATGAAGAATTTATAAATGCAGAGAATGCATCACCCATAAAAGGAAATAAAGAAGTTACTGAAAAACCATATCAATCGCTAGAGGAATTAATGAATATGCGTTTGAAACGTAAACGTGAAATTGACGGCAATAGCGTTGATGGTGAACAAAGGATCGGTGAGCTGGCGGTGATACCTCCTAAACAGTTCCGGTTGGAAAATCATATAAATGAAAGAAAATCAATTATAGAAATTCATCTGACTAGTGAGGATGTTAAGAAGCCATTATTAGCTCCTAAAGCAGTTGCAGAGTTGGAAGAGAACGTTAAACAGAAAATAGCCGACGTTCAACAACAAATTATCAAAGAGCTGGATATCTTCAAACGCGAGCCCTCAGTCTCAATGCCTTCGGCTGAAATTTTTCGAGAGCACCCAACACCAGATACCGTTAAAGGATATCTAATATCAGATACTGTTAAAGAAGCCGTAACAATAGATAAAGTTGAAAGCATTGCCGATGATAAAAGTCGTCCAGAGATATTAGATTTAAAATCTCCTGAAAAGCTTACCCCCATTGAAGTCGAAGCCTCTGACGCAATTAATGAGATTATATCGAACGAAAGCAATGACCAAACTGAGGATAGTAATCATCAAACTCAGGAAAAAGAAGACGAGGAACTATCCTTGGAGAAACTTACACCTGAGGAGGAAATTAAAGATCAAGCATATAAAAAAAGTTGCGAAAAATTCCGGCAGCATTTACCCTGTTTCAAATTACAGAGCAGCGCTTCCAATTCACCTTCTACTGATGATACGGCTAATAATGTCCCGAAAATATCAAAATGTCGCGAATGTCGTCGGCGGACACCCCAGCAAGGTTCCAATGATGTCTATTGTCGGTTCTATGAGTTTCGTTGTCTGCAGTATACACCCGAAGGCCAATTAGTGGTGGCTGGGTTTCCTAATCCTTATACTGATGCTACGCAAGATGATATGAACATTTGGCAACCAGATGCCGAAACCGAGCCAACAGCCGGCTATATGGACATACAAGTATGCCGTTACATACTCCTGCATGTAGGTGATCAATTTTGCCATTTATGGCGCCAGGAAGTAGAAGCTTTAAAATTACATGAAAATCCTAACGAAATTATTGCTTGGAAGAAAGTGGTTCAAGGCATACGAGAGATCTGTGATGTCTGCGATACGACCTTATTTAATTTTCATTGGACATGCGATAAATGTGGCTTTGGTGTATGCCTGGATTGTTTCAAGGATCGAAAAGAGGAACGTCCCCGTCGCAAAACCTTTGCAGGTGACAAACCTCCCAAAGGACGAGACGAATATTATTGGATGCTGTGCACGGGTGGCTCAATACATAACGTAAAAGAATTAATTTTAACACAAATTATAGCCGGCGATGCTCTAAACGTGTTGGGGCAGCTTTTGCATGATGTGCGTACTTTATGGCAAATACCTCAACTTTGTGGCTGTTTACTGAGTCAACAGGAGTTACCCGATGGTGATTTGAAGAATTATATACAAGACATGATTAAAGAGTCGCAATTAAAACAGCAGACCAGCGCTTCATCGCTAGCCACTGAAGAGACAAAACGCAATCAAGCTCGTCTTGAGCAAATACATGCGAAAACCCTCGAATTTGCTAGGGCCTGCGGTATCGATTATGTGCCTGGCCGTTTGTGGACCAAGCATACCTTAGGCAAAGATCCTATTACTACTGCTTTCGATAATTTCAAGCATATAAATTTCCTGCGAAAAGGTCTAACAGGTTATCGGAGATTTCTACCGCCAAGAGCAATGACTTTGGCTCATTCTACGCTTTTGGCACCCGGGGTGCCGCATGAATGGCTTTGCGACGGCAAGTTATTACGTCTTACGGACACGAATCAACCCGACAATAGAATATTATTCCAAGAAGTTTGGAAATGTGGTCAGCCAGTTATGATTTCCGAAGTTGCCAAATCATTGGACTTAGATCTGTGGAGGCCTGAAGCATTTCTGAGGGATTTCGGTGACAAACCCAATGATTTGATTAATTGCCTAAATGGTAATTTGGTCCCTAATCAGCCAATGCGTCATTTTTGGGAAGGTTTCCAATGTATGAAAAAACGTTTATTGGATGCAAATGGCAAGCCAATGTTGCTGAAACTTAAAGATTGGCCACCTGGAGACGATTTTGCTGAAATTTTGCCAACACGTTATAAAGATCTAATGAAAGGGCTACCCATGCCTGAGTACACGTTGCGTACTGGTAATCTGAACATAGCCAGCTGTTTACCAAAAATGTTTGTACCACCCGATCTGGGTCCGAAAATGTATAATGCTTACGGTTCTGCTTTCCATCCTGACAAAGGCACTACCAATTTGCATTTAGACATATCAGATGCAGTTAATATAATGGTTTATGTGGGTATACCTGAAGATGCTGATAGTAAATCGCAAATATCTGCTTCTCATCGAGCGATAGCTATGGGCGGCTGTGAGTTTTTGACACGAGCTAGAGTTTTGCAAAAAAATGTTTTTCCCGGTGCATTGTGGCACATTTTTCCAGCTCGAGATGCTGACAAGATACGTGATCTCTTGAATAGAGTCACCTTGGAAAAGGGATATCGATTAGAACCTGACCATGATCCAATTCATGATCAAAATTGGTATTTAGATGATAAGTTAAGAGCGCGACTATTTAAAGAATACGGCGTTGAGGGTTTCGCTATTGTGCAATGCCTAGGCGATGCTGTTTTTATACCAGCAGGTGCTCCACATCAAGTACAAAATCTACACAATTGCATTAAAGTTGCTGAGGACTTTGTTTCGCCCGAGAATATAACGCACTGCTTCCACTTGACCCAGGAATTTCGACGACTTTCACATTCACATACCAATCATGAGGATAAATTGCAAATTAAAAATATTGTCTATCATGCCATCAAGGATTGCTGTACAATTTTGATGAGAGCCTTCGAAAAGCGTATTGATCAGGAGATGATGGAAGCAGAAAAAATGAAAGCTGAACTAGACGATAAGATAGCTTTGAGAAAAGGAAACAAAAGCCTAGTTAACGGCAAAGGACACCATTTTGTCAAACAGGTATCTGTAGTTGAATTAAATCGAGACGTGATTATAGAGAAATCAGAAGATATCTCTGTTAATGGAGATGGAAACCATATCGATCAAAAGGTGATTTCAATCGAACGAGGACATAGTGAAACTATGGAGAAATCGGAAAATTGGTCGGCCAACACCAAACAAGAGCGTTTTGATGGTCACGAGCCGATGGTAATCGAGCCAGGTTTCAGAGAATCTACTGAGAAGTCAGAAAACACTCGTAACGAAAATCTACTTGATCAGGAAATTGTAGATGCCTATCTGAACCCAGAAAATGCTACGGAGAAAATTGCAGACCACTTACTTAGTAAAAAAGAAAAGTTTATGGGTCAGCAGATGATGGAAGCTGAGTTGATTATTAAAGATGAAGACGAAAACTCCTTAAATTATAGCGAGGAAAAGTCTATCGACGAGGAAGTAATAGAAGCTGAACCAAAGATTAAGGAAGCTGCAGAAGCAAAAGAACACAGCTCAGATAATGGCCACGAAAAGCCTATCGATGCGAAGTTCATAGAAAAAGAAAAACTGACAACTGAGCTAGAGATTAAGGAAACTACCAAGAAGCATGTAAAAGACTTGGGTCATACTATGAAGGAAAAGAATACGAGTTTAGTTAACGAAGACGGAAATTATTTTAAACAAGATATGACGAGCGCTGAACTAGATCTCAAGGAAGCTATCAAGGGAGAAGAAATTACATCACCTATAGACGCAGAAAAGTGTGTTGATCAAGAGATATTAGAAATTGAACAAAATCTTAAAAAAGATATTAATAAAGACGCAAAGATATTGATCACTGATAGCAACAAGTGTAGTTATCAAGAGATGATGGAAGCCGCGTTAGATGACAATGAAACAGTGAAGATATCAGAAAAGCATTTAGATAATGCCAACGGAAAATGTATTGATAAAGAAATGGAGAAAGCTGAACTAAATTTTAAGGAAGCTGTGAATATGAGCGAAGAAGAAACGAGTTCAGCTAATGAAACAGATGAATGTATTGATCACGAGATGTTGGAAACTGAACTGTGTTGCAAAGAAGCTATGAAGAAACAAGAAAACAGCTCTACTAATGACGACGAAAAGCGTACCGATCAAGAGGTAGTAGAAGCTGAGCTACATCTTGAAGTGTCAATAAATGATCAAGAAAAGAGTCCCGTCAAGGACAGTGGAAAGTGTGTTGATCGTGAGACGAAGGAAGATAGCAAGATAACCTTGAAGAAACAAGAAGAGTGTTCTGCTAATGGCGGGGAAGAATGTAGTGATCGAAAGATGATAGAAGTTGACCTAGATCTTAAAGAATCAATGAATAAACGAGAAATGAGTCCCCCTAATGACGTGGGAAAATGTAATCACGAAGAAACAATGGAAGCCGTACCAAGTCTAATAAAGAGTTCAGCTAATGCGAACGAAAAATCTAATGATCAAGAAATGACGGATGCTGAGATAGACCTCAAGAAAGCTACGAATATGAACGAAGAAGAAATTACCGATGAAGAAGAGTCAACTGATCAAGAGATGGTGGAAGCTGAACCAGATCGAAAAGACGCCGCGAAGGTACACGAGAACATCTCAGTTAACGTTGACAAAAAACTTGTTAATGAAGATATAAAGGAACCTAAACTAGACCTCAGAAGATCTGTAAATATAAGCGAAAAAGATATCAATTCAGCTAGCGACGACGAAGAATTCATTGATCGAGAGATGATCGAAGCTGAACTAGATCGCAAGGACGCTGTGAAGATACTACAGAACATGTCAGCTATTGCTGACGGGAAACTTAGTGATGAAGAGATGAAGGGGGCTAAACTAGAGAAAGATACGAACAAAAAGAAAGAAGAAACTAATTCAGCCAATGGCGAAGAAGTGTACATTGATCAAGAGTTGATAGAAGCTGATCTAGATCGGAATGACACTACGAAGATACAAAGGAACATCTCTAGTAATACCAACGAAGAATTGAGTGATATTAAGAAAATTAAAGAAGATCTTGAACAAGCAATAGAAAAGGAACAAGAAACTTCACTTAGTAGTATTGATCCCGAGCTAATGGCAGCCGAATCAGATTGTAAAGAAGTTATAGACACGCAAGAAAGGAGCTTAGCTAATATTGACGATAAATGCACCGGCAAAGACATCACGGAAGCCGAGTCTAATTTTAAAACGGAAATGAAGAGAGAAGAAAAGAGCTTAACTAATGGTAGCGAAAATCTTATCGATTCAAAGATGACGAACGCCGAAGTAGACTTTAAGAATATGTTGAAGAAGCAAGAGGAATTTTGTGCTAGCGAAAGCTCCACTAAATAAAGATTTTGTTTACTTAAGTATTATTATTATTATAATTTTCTATTTACGCAATAAAATTGACAAAAATTTTAATAATAACAATCATAAGTTTAAAGAAGTAGCGTTTTTTTTTTTCAAAATTTAAAAGGTTTAATTTTTTTAAGGCTAAAGGATTCCCAAGCATTAAGAAGTTTTGTATAACTTTTTTTTTTAACTTTAGTTGCAGTTTAAGGAATAACAATGAACGTCCTATTAATGAACAGAAATCCAACCATTACTGTTAAATCTGTCAGCAACTGATTATCTATTAATACTAAGAGTCAATTAGTGTATACCGTAAACACCAGTGACAACAGCAACAACAACAACAACTATTTTGTATATTCCAATCAATCTAATTTTTTAACGCAATTAAACTTAAGTATTAAGAACTGTCGAGCGCCAAAATGACGGTAGACTTCAATGATTACTTTTGGGTTAGTATCTTTACTTTGTCTTTTTTTTTTTTCTTTTTTTTTTTTTTTATAAATATCTCTAATATGTTTTATTATTTTAGGGCGAGAAAAACAATGGCTTCGATGTTTTATATCATAACATGAAGTATGGCTTGGTTGCCAGTAAAGAACTCTCGGAGTTTTTTCGAGAAAAATCCAATATCGAAGAGCAAAATTCCAAGTTGATGTCGAAATTGGCACATAAAGCCAGCACCGGTACGTTGAATAGCACGTTCGCTCCCGTATGGACAATACTACGTACATCGGCTGAAAAATTATCCACTTTACATATGCAAATGGTGCAGAAATTAACTGAGTTAGTTAAAGATGTCGCTAAGTATGCTGATGAGTTGCATAAAAAACATAAATCAGTGAAAGAGGAAGAATCTCAAACGTTGGATTGTGTTAAGGCCATACAATCATCTACAACGGAAGTTCAAAAGGCCCGAGACCTTTATAGTAATAAAGTACTAGAATTAGAGAAGTTGCGTAAAGATAGTGCATCACAGAAAGATATTGAAAAACTGGAAACAAAACTGCGTAAATTACAAGAAGACTATAAGGTGCTACTGGAGAAGCATAATCCTATTAAAAATGAGTTCGAAAGGCGTATGACACAAACATGTAAAGTAAGTGTAAAAATGAATTTGAAAAACACGTAAATATATTATGGTGGGCCGTATGCCGCCATTGAATACCCTACGCCACTGCATCCAATATGATCATTCATATAGTGAGCAAGCTTAGATCGATATAATAAAAATAGGGTTATCTCATGTCCTTCTGGATTTTAAATACGTCGCCACTAACTTAATATAGCCTTGTACTACAAGTGGTGTAGAGTATAACAAACAATTTATGCACGTATAGGTATACATATGTATTTACATATATGATTGTAGCGTTTCCAAGAAATCGAAGAAGTGCATTTGCGTCAAATGAAAGAATTTCTTTCTACTTATTTGGAGTTGTTACAAAACAATCATGATATGGTGGGGCAGGTGAGCTTAATACAGTAATTATCTTAAAAGACATTTTAAAATTTTTTCTATTTAGGTACATTCCGACTTCAAACGTCAATTTCTTGATATGACGGTGGACAAATTGCTGGAACAATTTGTTTTAAACAAATATACCGGTTTGGAAAAACCAGGTATATGGAAAACATATCTAAACTAAATTTCATATAAAATATATTGTAACCTCTTATTTTATAAATAGAAATGCCTGAACTTGAATTCATTCCACTTTCCATTAATCAACAATTGTCAGCTACGTCTGCTACACGTTTAAATCAACCTAACACAGCATCGATATCGTCTGCTACTAATTCCAATTCAGCTACCAGTATTAATCGTGCCGGTGCTATCTCAATGGATCAGCGTGGTCTGGAGGCGTCTTCATTGGGTAGTACAGCTAGCGGTAGTGTTGGTCTCGTTAATAACGATGATACAATAGTAGCTAGTAGTGCTAAAATAACTGCGTCAGCAATAACGTCTACTTCACGCCCTACATCACCGGAATTAGCACCAGCATCGGCAGCAGGAAATGCTGCGGCGACTAGCAGTAACAGCTCTACAGCAACCGCTACCACCGTAAAGAGCAATTTTCTTAATTGGTTCTCTTCAAACATTCCCAGCAAATCGCATCAACAGCAGCAACACAGTGTAGGATTAAATGCCACCGCGACGACCAGTGCAAGCGGAAATTTCGGTATGGCTAGTAATGGTACCAACAACAATTCAATATCTACTAGTACTACCACCACCACAACAACTAGTACATCCACTACCAATACCACAACCAAAACTACTACCACTGGCACAACCATCAAAAATCCCCTTAACTCAGAGCTTCAGTCACTGCAGGATAATAATAATCAAGGTTCATTTATGTTGTCTGCGTTATCATTAACTTTTTTTAGTTGTTCATAATCAAACAAAAGACAATTTCTCATCTTTTTTCGTTTTGTATTTATTCAAAATTTTGTTTTATGTTTATTACTAATCCGTTAAGTTCTTTATTTTCATTATTATTATTATTTTGTATATATTTATTATATTATGAACCTCAATAAGAGCACTCACATCATCAACACATCTTACTAAAAACTTATACGTAAAAGTTTGCGGCAAAATGTAATTTAATGGGTGGATATACGTAGTATTTAGATATAGACATCACAGTTTCTATATAGTAAGCATATATCAGCTCTTATAAAGACCCGAATTTTCCCTAATGGAAAAGCTGATAAACAATTAGTTTCTGCTGAAAGGATTATAACCGGTGCAAATGCATTTTGGTCAAAAAGCTGTTCTGTTGATGTTTGTTGGCTTATAAGCTTTAGCATTTTGGACGGTCTTGATACCGAACCTTGACAAGACCATTCAATATTCGTTGCAAAGTTTTCAGTCCAATTCCCCTAAAGTCTCCTTATAAGCGTTTGGTTTAAATTGCTTTATGAACATTTGACTGGACCTAAGCAGACGTGACTGAGCCTCAGTAGAAACAGCATGTATATAGAAAACACTTGTGCTTAGTAGACACTTTCAGGAAAAACTAAACAGAAGTGATAGCACTGCGACGCTTCGGTGGAAACACCGATTGAGGCCTGAGTGTGGGATGGGGCCTCTCAAACAGCCTCTCGTAAGAACGATTGTGCGATTTAAATTTTGATCTCCAGGGATTTTAGAAACAAACGTGTAACGGAACGAATGTGCGAATATCGTTAAATACTTGCAAAACCTTACATACATCAAGGGGATTAAAGGGCGACTTAAGTTCGAATTATGGACAAACAACAAATGCTTTGCCATTAAAAATCCGTTAAACAAAAAGTTGACAATTAAGATTATAAATTATTAAAAAGAGGTTCTATTGCTTTCCAATATCTTTTGACTTTAAGAATTTTATTATAAAAATAGTTGTTTTCTTTTTTTGCGTTAGAGTGACTTTTTAATATCTATTAGAATACTTTTCTTAAAGCACCTTTATCAGATGATTCACATAGCTCATTTCACATCACAAAACAAATTTTTATTGGTCAATCTCGATCATCATAGCTGCTTCTTTGATGGTAAAAATTTTAGGATTAAAATATCTTTTACGGACTGTAATTTACAGTTTGTACTTACGGACACTGGGTAGATGGTCTGTTGAACTTTTAGACGATTTTCGTAAATATTTGGGCCATGCTTCACGAGTTATAGTTTTTCACTTGTTTAACAGATTTTTCACCTGTTACCCGCAGATCACAATCAATTTTCGAATTTGTTTCACTTTCCTAACCTCAATTTTGTGCCTATAAGCATATAATAATAACTTAGCGGCAATTATATAGCCGGCCGAATTGATCGGTTCTGATCGATGGTGATCAAAAATGTGTAGATATGTTAAGATTTCTAATACGTGTTTTTTTTTTTTTTTTTTGTATTGCAACTTAGTAATACGTCTTCCTTCTTCTCTGGTGGTGGCTGTAAAAAGGCGAAGTATTTGTAATAAATGGACAAAAAATTTGTGTTCCTTCATTTATTTTTACTTACCAATGTATTATTTTGTAGCTTCGCTTGTCTTTTGTTAATATTACCGCAGATTATTATTATATGTTATAGATATTCTTTATTTATCCTATATTTAAAATCCATAATTATTATTACTGAGTATATATTTGCGATTTATATATGTTCAACTAACACTCAAAACACCAACTTGGTTTTATGATAATTTTCAAAACACCTAATAAATACTTGAGATACATTACAATCGCTTTTTTTGAGGAAAAGTACGTCATTTTCAATAATTTATCACTTTCATATATATACGAGAACTGATCGAAAAAATTGTATAATATTTGAATTTTCGAGATCATGTTGAATTATCACAATTCATTTCATCTTATACCACAAGACGTGCCAACTCTTTATTATCGATTCAAAAAATGACTAAAATCTGTCTATTCGTCTGAGTGTCTAATGTTTATATATGGTTTTATTTAACCAATAGATTCGAAACATTTCAGTCAAATCTGGAGCACAAATAAGTGTTAGAACAAAGGCTATTGAAAATAATTTGGATCGAAATATTTTTATGAACTATTCCTATATAGACCCGTTCTTTGAAAAAACTGCCCAACAAATCAGTCACGTAGTATATCAACATACGAATAAATGAGCAAAATCTTGCTGAGATGAGATCACTTTTCAATCTTTTGTTGCAGTATTTCATGACGGAATTTAGCGATTACATCCTTAGAAACTCTCAGCCATTTCGCAACATATTTTCTTAGCGTATTTTTGGGATAAAAAAAAGAGAGTTGAGCGGCTCTGACACAGGCATAACATACGTTACTTACGGGCATCGACATGAAGGCCTTGATGAAAACCTCGTACAAAAGCTTTAAACATTTTAATTTTCTACTTGTGTTTTCTTGATCAAACCTCGTATTTTCGTCGATATTTTTTGTTGCAATACTTATTTACATAAGGCAACACTAACACCAACTACCAGCAATCTAACTATGTTTTATGCTAACTAATAAAAGTGTTGTAAATACTCCCTTGTTTGTTATTATGTATCTATCGTTGTGTATACAGCCCTCAAACATATGGAACGAGATGCCTTAACAATTGAAACTAATGACAACAACACCAACACCACTACCACCACTATCACCACCACCACCACCACTACTACCACTATAACTACCATTAATACTAATAGCACTACTACTAGTCCTACTACTACTACTGCTTCTACAGCAACAGCAGCAACATCATTACTACCGAATATTTCAGCTATTGGAACAAATACTAAAAAAATGACCGAACGTTGTATTGCAACATCAACAACAAATCATCATTTTTCACCACAAAATACCACAACATCATCAACGTCTGCTAGCCTGGGCGGCGGTACATCATCTCAAAGACGTACCACTTCACTATTGAATATATTTTCTTCAAATTCCCAGGGTATGAAAATAAAAATCAAAGTCAAAATCAAAAAATCCTTACTTCTTACGCCACACGAAACACACACACATATATATATATACATATATCTACTTTCTATCAATATGAAGTGAATGACTACGTTCAACTGGAAAATTTAAATGGCTTTCTTTGCTGTTGTAATTATGTATAAAACTTTGATCTGTGGAAGAACTGGTGGCAATTAAATTTCAAACTGAAATAAAATTTTTCTTTAAAATTTTTTTAAAATTTCAGAATTTTTTTTTTATAAAAAAAGTTGTAATTTATTTATTTCTTAGTTTAATCTTTAATTATTTATTTTTATTTATTTAATTTTATTTAATACTTTAAAACTGGTTGGTGTTTGAGTTCTTCTTTTCTGTATTCTTCTGTTACTGTAACGCTGTTCTAACATTCTTGACACTTCAAAGAATTTCTACTAATCTCCTGAACTTTAAACCATTCTTTCGTATAAAACCTAAATATTTCAAAGAAACGATAAATAATTTTCTTTTATTTATTTATTTTTTTTTTAAATAAATTTTGATAGTGTCTGGTATCCTGCGCAGTCGTCGTGATAAGGCCAAGACGAAGAAATCGAAAAAAAAGAAAGATGGTGATCTGGGTGATAACATACAAGAAGAACGTACCCAAAGGTGAACAAAATTGAATATTGATTGCTTTTCATTTATTTAATAATTTCCATTTTAGTGTCGATCGGCTTAATAGTGGTTTAGATTATGATGATCATAATCGAATCAAAAGTCAAAGTACTGTCGGTAGCAGTGCTATCGGTTTGGCATTAACTTCTACCACTGGCAGTAGTAGCGGTATTACTATCGGTAATGTGGATTCTTCTGGCTCCACCGTTATAAATGCTACTGCCATCAGTTCGACAACGAATATTACTAATAACAACGCTACCACCAATATATGTGATATTTTGATTAATAGTTCAGCTAGTGGCGGTGGTAGTGGTGGCGGTGATGCCTTAATTACGAAAGCGAATAGTTCTGGAGTAACTATAAATGCTACAACCGTCTCCAACAACTTTAAAGGCAATGAAGTTGATGAAGATGGTTACAGTTTACAGCCACCTAAAGAAATTGCTTGGGAAGAAAATCATGAAAATGGTAAGCTATTAGAAAGTTGTGTAAATTATGTATAAAAATTGTATGATTTTTGCTTTCCAGCGGGTAGTTTCTATTCTGATTCCGATTCAGATTCTGATAATGATAAACCCGAAAGACGTATACACGTTAAAATAAAGCCTCTTAATAATGGTCAAGCCCCAATGTCGGCCAGTGTCGATGAACTACGCGCTACTGTCGAGAATATATCGTTATCGCCTACAGGAGTATTTTCGGTAAGTAAAAAGAGGCAGTCTTAAGCTATAAATAGTTTATTGTTCCCAGCTCTTAAACGAAAAGAAAATGACTTAAAACTAAAGATATCCATAAAAGGCACAAAATATTTTCCTAAAAATATCTGTTCGTTTCGAGTTGATAAAAAATCTTAAAGCGAGAAAGTTTACAAGGCTTACTTAATGCCATTTCTATACAATACTCCTTTTTTTAAAGAACTATAATTTAATCGGATGAAACAAGAAAAAAAATTGGAAACCTTATAGTGGGACACGGCTCACCCTTAAATACCCCACACAACTTTGTGTGATATAGTTCTTCACGTAACGACATTTTAAAATAAGTCCTTATATCGGGAGTGGTCGAAAAACTAGTCCGATCCAACGCATTTTCAATGGCCTTCGTCCTTGGACTAGAACCTATCGATGTACCAAATTTTATCAAAATATTTTGAAAATTTACGACTTGTAAGTTGAACACAATTAAACAGGACGGACACATAAACTTAGATTCATTTTCTGAATCGATCAGTAAAAATAAAAGGGTCATCTATCTCAAGTGTTTCTGAGTTTTGCACACGCATAAGCTTAAGATATTCTTGTATTAGGCAGTGGTGTTAGGTATAAAAATTCTACCAAGATCTATTAGCCGTTTTTGTTTTTGCTTATTTGATGGGAACGGTCTTAGTTGATTTTTATACATCATATTGGGATATGGGCGTAATTCGTCTAAAGACATTTACCCGTAACCGGCAAACAAATTTTCAGTAGAGTTATTCAGTTGTACTTCTCTTTGAATAATTCGGACCGCCATTAATCCAAAAAACCAAAAGAAAAAGGTTTCTTAATTCTTAGCCTAAGAACTAATTGAATATCTTGTTATATAAAAATCTAAACATCATTCATTATAGTCGAGAATATCTTTTCGCATTTTGCATGGTGACAGACAACGGGTTCCAGGACACATCTTTAAAAAGAATAAAAGCGTTTAGTCGGACAGCGACCATTGTTAAATATCCTACGCGTTTAGGCCACTTCATCTAACACGAATCTGTAGTCACTTTTATTCTAAAGTAAAAAAAAATTTATTTTTTCATTCTATGTAAAGGCATGCTTTTCAACAAAATTCTTGAATTCTTAGAATTACATCGCTTATAACGGTTATATTGCATGAAATACCTTATATTGGCAATATACAAAAACAAGAAAGAAAGTGATATTCGAATCCCCATCACTACGAAAATCTTTGGATTATATTTATTGTCATAAAACAGTGAATGGGACAAAATTTATCTTTTCTAACTTTTATTTCATTGAAAGGTATTATTAAGAAAATTTAATTGACCAGGCTATATTTAATTTAGAATTAACATACCTAGCTTACCTCATTCCATTTGGAGAAGTCGTTCTATTTGATAGCATACGTTGTGGGGTTCAAAGCATTTATTTCAGAATTAACACAATTTTTAGACAAGTATGTGAGGTATGTACGGAATAATTTTCAACATTCTTTCGCTCTTGTTTAACGTACGAGTGATAAGCAGAAAAAGGGAAAAAAGTAGAAAAATAAAAATGCGATTAGACACATGAACCTGCTTACATCGGTTTAGAATTTCAGGGTAACCAAGACTATGTACACCTTATAAGATCTCTGAAGCTTCTTTCTAGATATTACAAATATACTGACAAAACGAATATAAAAAGTAGACCATTTAACCATATAAAGGGTTAGCTTTCGTAAAAAGGATTCAATAGAAAGGAGTTGAAAAGTTGACCAACCTTTTCGAAACTTTGCAGGTCAACTTAGTACGGCGAAGCATTATTATTACTCAGCGATTATTTTGATAATTACAGCTTTTTTTCCCAGTGAGGACTTTCTCAAGAGCACACGTTAAACTGATGCACTTAACACATTCTCCATAGCGTTCCATAGAATTAGGGCGAGATGTGTCATTACATCAAATTTCGTCATTCGAAATTTGTGACCTGCGGCTTAAACACAAAAGCACATGTGTACGCATCGGGCGGACAGACAAGCTTAAGAACAAACACCACAATAACACTCTAAAAAAACAAAATATTTTCTGACTATTTTTGTTTTTGTGATTGAAGAGAGGATAGTAAAATAATAATATTGGAGGAGATTGTTAAGCATACGTATTAGAAAACAAGCCAATTGTGTATGGTTAGGAAAATATTGAAAAAGAGCAACACCGCAGTCATTCTCGCGGTCTGCCCGTTTTTTAGTGTATACGTAACAAAACAGAAAGTGGAGGAAATTTTGTTTAGGCAACTTTGAAAAATTTTGTTTCGAAAAAAACGCCTTTAAAAAGTTTTACGTACCTGTGCATACTATCATATAATAGTGTTTCACAATTGCATTTTTTGACTTTTTAAAATTTTGCCACATCCACAAGGATTTTGAAATCTGACAATTACAACCAATAAAAAAATTGATTTTCTGAAGAATTTACAATAGAGTTCCTCCGTAAAACAGTTTAGAAACTAATTGCGAAATCGTCAGTACCGTGAAAGATCATCAAAGTGCCCGTCTTTTCTAAAAATTATTTCGAAAATATGAAGAGATTCATGTGATATTACCATACGAAGGTGTGCGTGCAAAAGTAAAACTTCGAGCCGTTAAATCGTAAATTATGCTCACCTTGGATCGACTCTTTTAACATTTTCCTGAAAGATTGTATATATTCCGTTTACGGTAAAATATACGTTATATTTGGCAGCGCAGCATAGGTCGATATATGTGCCAAAATTTTTATATATATTTAATAAATTTATATATTTTAGATGAATAAACGGTCTCTTTGAAATATGGAGGAGATATTTTTCTTAAGGAAAAAAAAAGGTCAAAGTTACTGATGCGGTAATGTGGGAAAAAATTAGAAAACTATCAGTGTCTCAGATCAGTCTATTCTTGGTGAATCTATTTATTGATCTTTCTTGATGGATGGATGTTTTGTCAAAACGAAAGCTCTGAAGTCATTGTGGTGTTTTCAATGGGCATGAATTTCTCAATCGCTTTTCCTATTTACTTTGATCAAGAAAATGTATATTTTAGAAAGTCTCTAGTCGTTAGCAAATCTAATGTACAGATCAATTATTTGGTATTTAAAAAAAGTTTTTACGTAAATGCTATTCTCCTAGCTATTTTTAAAGGCGGAGTAATTTTTTTCGGTAAACTTCCGCCAATCAAGTCTTCTTAAGGATGGGTGCAGCAAGTTGGGCCTTGTAAAAATAATTTGATGTGTTTTTTGGATCCTTGTATTTCGTAAACTTAATTGAATTATTCATTGTAAAGAGCGCTATTAGGCGTCGTATAGGATCATTTCTAATAATGTCGCATACTGAATAGGTTTTTAATCAATTCACTTCAATTACAACATAGCATCACAGTCAGCAACTCCAACAACCATCGCGGCTAACGTCACGGCAACAATCACCGGAAATATCGAACGCGTCAACGCCAACGGCCACTGTACATCCATACGCGCCACTGCAAAGTCCCACTTTATCCATGTCTAACAATTCCAGGTTTGTGTGTTACAATTTAATTCATTTTTTTATTATTGTTGTTAATATTCAATTCAAATAGATATGCCGATCTGGGTGATATATTCTCGGAATTAGGTGATGTTAGCATCTCTGCGCCTGCATCTGCAAATCTTACAAAGACACAAAGCCGGCAAATACCAACACCCACGTCGGGCACGGGCACGGGCACGAATAGCAGCATAGCTATACCGCGACCGCCTTCAAGGCGTTCGGAAATGGTGGTGGCCGGTGCTAGAGGACGCATAAGTCCGGCTCCAATAAATGCTATGAATCGTGCTGACAGTATTGGTTCTTTAGAATTTCGTACTGCTATCGGTGGTATAGGCTCATCGCGCGGACCTTCACCGTTAACAATCGGTATTTCGGATACCATACCTTTGGCGGTCGCATTCCATGAGATTATACATGCCTACTTTAGGTTACCACCATAGATTTTTCGAGTTATTTGTGAAAAGTTGAATTTTCAATTTTATTTCTCTTTCTGCAGAGGTAGTGATGAATCTCGTTGTCAAGTGAAAATCTCCGGTGATATGATGTTATCATTTCCTGCTGGCATAGCCGGCTTGCTGGCCAACAATCCCAATCCAAATAAATTGGGTTTTCGCATCAAAAATGTACAAAATTTGGATAATTTTATACCAAATAGTAAACTAGTGCAAGTGTAAGTATATAAGTGGTAACACTTAACTAGATTTATCATTTATCAATTATATATATATATATATAATTGCAGTGATAAGAATCAATCCAGTTCGTTTAGTACAATGTTGGAATTTAATATGCCCGCATTAACGGCTTTATTAAGACGTCAAGCAGAACATAATCCTACGGCATCATATTTCAATGTTGATATTTTAAAATATCAAGTACGCACTAAACCGGGTGCCAGCTCGTGTCCATTTCAATTAGTTAGTTATTGGAAATGCGAGCCGACATTTACAGCTTTAAAAATTGATTACAAATACAATAATCATGCCATGGCTAGTGCCTGCCCTCTCTTAAATGTTACTCTTTCCGTACCGGTAAATGGTTCAGTTCGAAATGTGCAGTCAAAACCGCATTCAGCATGGTAAGTTTTTAAGAAAAATAGAAATCCATTATGTTTATATGCCCATTACTCTCTGATTGTAACACGATATGGATATAAAATATGGCCATTGAAGGTATTATAATTATATGTTGGGTTCGTTTCGCCACGTTCGTTTATTCATCACCTGTTTTTTTGGCTCTTCGATGTACGAAATTTCATCAAAATATATTAAAAAATCATGACTTGATGCACAAGCACACTTTGACTGCCAGATAGACAATCTTAGATCGATCAAGTCCTGTTGGTTGTTGGAAATTGTATTACATTTTGGGTAGATATAGATTTGTCTCTCTTTTTGTCTGGATTCTTTTGTTGGGATGCTCACAATTTCGAAAGTTTGGATCAAAAGCTAGGCCTTTCTTTACTTGGAGGCCATAGGTCAAATTTGAAAACTAACGTAATTAGTCTATGAACATGCCCACAATAGAAAAATTATTGTAGATTTTTTAATATAGGCATGTTCGAGATATTGCTATACATGAAAATTGATCTTTTCAAATGCTTCGTGAGGAACCCGCTTTCAACACACCCATAACCCAATAAAATCTTTTGACATTTTGTATTGGTTTGAGTTGGTAGTCAATATTCATAATATGCCAAAAGGTGAACACATGATTTTCTTAATTTTTGTTATTATTGGATTGAAGGTTGGGAGAATCGAATCGTTTGGTTTGGAATTTTACGGATATTTCGCAAAACTCTCCAGACGGTGGAGTGGGAACGTTAAGAGCACGCTTGGAATTAGGTGACGGACCATCAACCCCTGCCTTACTTAGCACTCAATTTAATTGCGAAGGTACTACTTTGTCTGGCATTGAGTTTGAATTGCAAGGCAGTGGCTATCGTTTGTCTCTCGTTAAACGACGTTTTGTATCGGGTGCGTAGAAACATTTTAACCAACATATCTAGCATTATAACGTTTCTAAAGTGAATGTAATACATTTATAGGTAAATATGTATGTGAAGGCGATGGGATACGCAGCACAACAACGCCTACACCACCGTCCGTTGGTTCATCTAGTCCATTTTCGGCTAAATCGAATTGATAACTTCCTTATGTCTTATAACGAAGAACGACAATTGGGTGGTAAAGAGAGAAATAAAAAAATCAAGGGATAAATCTGGCAAAGAGAGAAAGAGAAAAAGGAGTCGAAGTGAAAGACCAAGAGGAAAGAAAAGAACCATAGCGAAAGAGAGAGAAGACAAAATAAAGATATTACAACAATTGCCTCAATTATTGTGTTAGCTAAATACAAAAAAAAAAAAAAGAAAAACTATAAAATTATTTTATATACTATTTCAACAAAAGATAAATCATATAATAATAGCAATAGTAGCTAAAGTGAAAACAAATTCAAACTTTTTTATATATATATTTTGTTTTTGTTTTGTTCTAATTTTTTTCTCATTCTCTCTTTGAACAATTACTTGTTTTTCTTTTTGAATAACACTCATATATTATAGCTAGGCTCGTGAATTTGGCAAAATAAACGAACAAATTTTAATGACATTATTCAAGTAAACAGTTCTTGCTTTAAATTATTGTTTAAAAAAATTTTACCACCATAAAAAGCAACAACAAAAACCAATTATTTACAAATTATCTATGACTAGTGGTTTAAAAAATGTATTTTATTGTTATGACTTGAAAAAAAAAACAAAAAAAAGAAAACACTAAATTAAATTTGAATAATTCTACAACTTTCGATTTTCTAGATAATTAAGTGTTGAATTTATGTTGATTCATTACAAACATTATATGTTTGCGAGTATGTGTCCGTACACATATATATATATATTAAGTCCCTGCTTGTATGTAATATTGCATTAAATTATTGTGTTTATTTATCCCGTTCTTTATTCGTTTGTGTTTATCGCAATTTGAATTTTTTCTGTGCTTTAAAAAACTGAAATTTTTTTTCTCTTTTTTGTCCTTATGAAGTCTTAAATAATTCCAATGAAATTTATAAAAAAAAATTAATTTTTATAAAATTTTGAAATTAAAGTTTTTTTTTTTGTTCTTATGGAAGAGAAAAATAAAATTGATTACAAAAAATGAAGAAAACATATATGAAATTTAAATTTACTTTAGAGCGGATCTTAAGACATCATCTATTTGTGAAAACTGGTTCGCTTTTACAATTTAAAGCAATTTTTCAACGTTCATTAGTTTTAAAAAGGCGACGCTATGAGTGAGGATGCCCAAGCAACAAGAAAAAAGACTCCAACTTTAAGATTTATCAACTTACTCAAAGCACATATTATATTAGCTGTATTTTATACATATATGTATACGGCATCGGTCCGCAGGCATATTTTCTAAAAGAAAAGTTTCTCTGTTCCTGTTAGCTGTTCTGCTTTTTTAATAAACTAAATAATTAAACACCCGTCATGCCCGGAACACGATATAGGAATTCACCATCGTAATCATAATAGCAATCCTCCAAACGATAAGTAGCGCCTTGACGCCTTAATTTCCGGGGTATATATATACGACTGTGTAAGAAAATTAAATATTTTTTTAATTTGTAGGTTACTCTATTTGCTTTCGTATGGCAACTTACTCTTTAACAGTGGACATTGCAAAACGTTTTGAATCTTCAGCACTTATAACTACTTCATTGCTGGAAAACTTATCAGTGAAATCTAAAGAAGTTTCCCGCCGAACGATACCGGTATTGGAAAGATTTGCCAAATTATCAATTGCTTTATCATTCACCTCCCCAGTCACGGTTTTTTCTTTATGTTCTAAATCATATATTTTCATCTTCTTTGCCTCTTCTAAACGCATTTTTCTTTTATCGATTGTTTTACTTAACAAATAAGTTTCTTCTTCTTCGTTATGTTTATTTAATATTGGCTGATTTAGTTGTTCATTATCACTATTAGGATACGATAGAAGAGTTTCCTTTCGCGGTTTGCGTTTTGAAATCGCCGCACTTACTACCATTTCATTATTGACATATTCTACAGTGATATCCAAAGCTTCCTGTTGAATAGCATTCCTACCAAAAGGATTTCTGAAGGTTTCACTAGCTTCCCCATTTAATGTTGCTTCAGTTTTTCCTTTATTTTCGCCACGCGGCAGTAGGGGATTGCTTGTAGGTGCGTCCGCATCTTTATATTTTGCACAACTCGTTATGATGCTTTGAAATTCTTGAATCTTTGGCTTGGGCAGTTGCATAGGAGTAAAAGTTTGGGCCAGCTCAGGTAAAGCTTTTAAGTCCTCCAAACGTCTATCGACAAATTTTTTTAAATGTTCTTTCAATTCTGGAGGTAATTGCTTTTCAAATTCGCCTTTTTTATATCGATGCCAATTTTCTAAAACCTGTAAATCATGTGAATGTACACGTTTTGCGGACAATGGATGCCAATTAGCTTTAAGAATTTTTTTTATAATTTCTGCCGTGGCCGGGAAACTTTCAGCTAAGCGTTCAACAGGCCATTCTTCCGCATCTCGACTGTGCAGTAGACGTATATGTTCTTTCTCGGCATAAGTTAAAAGATTGGGTAGAGTATCATCGCGGAAATACTTATGTTTTACCATTAAATGGCGTATTTGCTCTCTTTGTTTCTCTAAATCCAATTTATGTTGACGGTAACTTTGGCCAGCTTGCATAAAATCGGCTTCTAAGTTATCTGAAAGTGTGCAAATAGTAGTACATTTTATTTTTGTTGCATAAATTTTTTTGATTCATTTTTCTAGATTTAATTGTACTTAATATAATTTAATTGTGGCGCAGGAAAGAAAAAAATTGAAATAAAGATAAGCTCAATTTATAATATAGATCTGAATTAAAATAAGCCCTAGGATACAGGGATATATAATCATGGATGAACATGTGCTTGTTTATATTAAATTAACAAACGAGAAAAAAATCAAATACTAAGCAATATTTTGATTCAATTTACATGTATTTGTACAAAACTCGAAAATGTTTAGCAGTTAAATATGCAATATAAGGCCTTTCACCTTATTAACCTACAAAACGGACAGATCAACTTATCAACCGTTTGATAACGTACGGGCCATTGAATTCTGTAGATCATCTTTATATAAACCCTAAAAGCGATTCAGCTTTAGTAACTGAAACTGCTTTACAAGTATCAAACTTGAGTTCTGGGTCGAAAACAATTCTTAAGACTTTGTAATTACAAACGTTTTTCAGGATGTGATTGTCAGTAGGATAATGAAAAGTCAACGGATTACACCACGCTAAAAGTCATCTTCTTACATTTTTTTGAAGTCAGCATCATACCGTTGATTGTACACCCTGTATAGAGCTTTTCAAGATCAGACTGAAGAAGTCACGTTTTCACAAGATATAGTGGTTTGAACTGATCCTTACTAATCTCGGCTTAAATATAAATAAAAACTAATTATCCTGTACAGACTTCCAAACATTGCGCATATGTGAAAACACAAAAAAAAGATTCACAGAGAAGATAACAAAAACGAATATTTAAAACAAATATTAAATTGATGTCAATCTCTTTCCCTACCCAAGGCACCTAGTTTTTTTATTGAAGCGCATATGTGAACTAGCACTACGTACCGAAACCTTCCGGATCACTTTTTATAATATCAGCAGCATCTTCAATTTCAGATGCCAAATGCCCTAAGCCAGGATTCAGCTTTTTCGTCGCTCGGCGTAATAAGTTATTTAACGATGTGTGAAACTGATATTTAATAAATAAATTACTAAACATTTTTTCTGCTTTTTTTGTGATTAAAGCAAAGAAAAAAATATGTGAAACAGCTGTTTGGTTTTCGTTGAGAGAAAGATTGCCAAGTTTCTCTAGTAGTAAAGAACTTTTTAGTAGTTATTGTGAATATTGTTAAAATATTACGTACTCTTAATTTTTGTAAATAATAATTTTTGTAATAATTGAAGAATCAATATTTAAATTTTAGTCTCCATATCTCGAAATTTTCAAAATATTTTATTTTAAGTTATATTAGTTTGCTATGAGGCGTTTTTCTTCGTTTTACGATCTACGATAAAAGTCATGTTTAATTGAATTCTCAGTAATTATTTTGTTATCGTGAATAGTTTCTTTGAGATTTCTTCTTTGGCTCTGAGCGAAGATTTCTTTGAATACACCATATGCAAGTCTTGCTAGCATTGTTAGTGTCATTTTGTTTTGCGAGAGAAAGAAATAGAGAGAGAATCACCAATTTCAACTGAATATAAATCTATATATAAAATCTATCTATAATAAATTTTCGTCAGTTTGCGTTGAGATTTTGTTGAGAGAGGAGTGTTGAAAATTAAACATCGGAGGATTTATTTATTCGCGTGTTTTGTGTATTATTATCAAAAAAATCGTGATCGAGCGGGGCGATTTACGCCGCTTCGAGGAGAATAGTCAGTCGAGACAAGATTTTTTTTCGGGATATGAAAATGAAACGTTTTGGGTTGCGTGCAAGTTTTATTTGTAAAAGAAAAAAACGCGTTTTGATTGTGTATTCGGCTGCCGTGTTCTAATCTCAAGTGTTTTTTTTTTCGAGTAGCAAATATAAGAAAAAATTTTGCTTTTTCGCTTAAATCCTACTTAAAAGAAAAAAGTATTTTCCCTTTACGTCTAAAAACCAATGGAAATGTAAAAATAATTATTAATTGTAATGCGGGATAAAGATCTCTTGTAGCTTAAAGCTTAATATTAAAATAAAATTAAATGCTTTATGCAAGTGTGTAAACGGGGCGAGTGATTGTGTTTGTGTGCGTGTTAACAAGTGTTGTTTTAATAATAAGAGCTGAAAATTGCTAGTAAAAGAAAATTCGCAAAAAAAAAATAGAAAGAAGATATATCTTTAAAAATATATATATATTAAAATTAAATCTTTCACAACGACCATAAATAAAACAATAATTACAATAAAAAGAACGGCAACGACGGCGTCAATGACTATACAACATCAACAGAATTGTGTCAAACGTGTTGTTATTTAAAGTGTTTACACGAAAAGCATAAAAAAAAAAATGAAAATAAATAAATAAAAACAAAAGAAAGAGAAAAGAGAGAAAGAACAACAAAACCAAAATCAAAAATCATAAAATCTAACAACACAACAACAACTAAGGAAATCGGATGCAATTTTGAGAAGAGAAGCGGACGAACGTAAAACAAAGAAGAAAAAGGTAAATAAAATAGGAATTTTTATACAAATTTAAACAAGTTGATTACATGCCAACAACAATTACTTGCTATTAGGGCAAATGAAATCAAATGGTGGTTAAATGCAATAACCGCACAGAAAACAAATAACAAAACAGTCAAAACCCCGAACGCCGATGCAATAACTGCAGCGGCGGTTGCAGCAGCATAGAGCGTTAGCATTAACAAGAAAACACAAAGTATATTAAAAAAAAAAAAAAAAAAATGAAAGAAAGAAAGAAAAACAAAAACTTGTTCTTGTTCCAATGCTAACCGATGCCGTCATTGCCGTCAGTTAATGCAATAGACGTTCATAATTACAGTTGAGAGCAAGACAATGACAAGGTATTGCAAAATTCATCATAAAAAAGATGGTTTGATGCTGCTGCGACTGTCTGTCCTTTGGGCTTAGCAATAAAGAAATAAATTTTTAAGAAGACATAAAAAGCAAAACCTTCGCTTGCCTTGCTTTTCACTTGTTCTGCATTTTTCAATAACGACGTCGTTGTTGTTGTCGTTTTTGTTTGTTTGTGTTTTTTTTTTCTTCCGTATCTCTATGCTTCAGGCATTATGCTGCATAGTTTAAGTAACTTTAGAATTCATGTCTGTGATTACCTCCACGTAATTGTTGTTGTTGTGCTTGTTGTTGCTTAAGTTGGTAATTTGTGGGCATAAATAGGAATTTCTGATTAATCGATAATAGGAACAAAAAAATCTTATCTCTGTGCACAAATAAAGAATCATTTTTAGTTGCCCCTTAAATATCATTTTAATATATAATGAGCGTGGTTGTTAATTGGCGGTTCGGAAGAATGTTTTGAATATGAATTGTACAACAAAAAAAAAAAACCAAAGAACAATGTTCATTCTTTGGAACAAGAAATTTAGCAGAAATAATATATTAGCAGAGCGTATCGCTAAGAAAAGACTAGAAAACATTCGGAAACGATTGAAAACTCTTGATAAATCGAACATATTGCTAAGAGATTGCGTTATCACCATCAGCATCTTGTGTGGAAAAACGGGCTACCTTTTAAATGTAACTGTAGCGGGGAAAGCGTTTCATTAAAAATTTCGGAGGGTGACAAATGTTACCCATCATCCTTTAGAATACGGCATAAAAATCCTTTTATAAAACATTTTAACATTCAATTTGGTCATTCTACGAAGCCCAAATCCGGCAGCTACTCCATCCCTTTTGCGTTCCTATATCCTACGTAGCACTTTATACTGCTGTTGACAGAGTCAGCCACATATCAAATCTTAAATTCGAACAAGAGTGACTATTAAATACTCTCAACGATTTCAGCGCCATATGTTTCGAAATAAGATGCTATATAGGGAGTGATGGATCCAAACAGCATTCTTCCTGGGTTCATGATATATCATGAAAATGTCTCTAAACTTGTCAACTATAGAGCTAAACGGACTACGACATAGTATAGCAGACAAAAATCGTGACTATCAAGCCAGCGTAACCGGGCTCAATTTCCGAGGCGGTAGACTGGGGCGATTGGCGTACGGCCACAGCTGTGGTAAATGTTTATACATTTTCCATCTTCTTTTCCGTCTTCTTTCTCCCTGACTATTAACGTGTTCATAAACGTATAGCGAATATCTTCGGTGACTGGGTTAGGATGTTGTTTGCTACGTTGCTTTTCAAGATTCAAGATTTCAATTTTCAATTTACTTTATAGTCATATTACATTATTATAAACCCCCATTGGTGTACCCAATTATCATTAAAATGGGTTTAAACAATGTTTATTTTCAAAAAAGAAGATTTTACAAATTATCTGATAGTTGGCTTATGTAATAGTGCGGAAATTAGCTACAATTATTTTAATATAAGTTCGATTCGTTTATTAAATTCTCAGTTCATGTAAGCCAATCTTGATTTTTTGTTCGTTGCCTTCAGGTCATACAAAGAACATAATTGTACCGCTGTACAAACGTAAACAAATTGTGGATTTTCTGGTAGTAGTTGACGTTCTAGGCAAAAACACATCTTACGGGGTATAGTGTCGAAAAAACAAGTTAGAATGCTGTCATGGGACGCGGCGACGCATTAAATTTCCAACATCACTTCGTTTAATATAGTTATTCGTGCAACGACTTCAAAATAATGTGGAATGGAATGATCAAAAAAATGATGCGTTCCGATTCAACACATGTCGGTGTACCAAGTTTCATCAAAACGCCTCAATGAGGTTGAACGCAAGAATACAAGACAAATGGACAGACGAAGAAGTTTAGACCGATGCAAAAAGTAATTTTGAATCCATAAATATAATAAAAACTGTGTTTATATCAAGTCCTTTTGAATGTTGCACACGTCGGCAAACTCCTTATATAGCCGTGTACCTCAAATGGTGTATGACACGAAATGGGTAAATGAGTTTAACTCAATCCCGGAATAGATTTTAAATCATTTGATTTAGTAATAGATGAGTATACCTCCCATCCTTCTGGATCCAACTAGCTTTAGGACACATTCAACGCAAGCTGCTTCAAGTGTAATGTTTCTAAAAATTGACCCAATACAGAAACGTGAATCTAACCTAAGTTATTCTGGACGTTGTATAAATTGTCGCAAAACTTAGTATAGCTCGTATCGGTATGGAGCGCTGTATAGCACATAAAATCTTCAAGATACCGAAGGTGTAATTTGAAAAGTATTATCATTTCATTGCGACATAACCACATAGTCACAACTTATTTTTTTTATTGTAAGGACCTCCTATAACATACAGAATTTACAACAAAATGGCGATTACTTATTGTTTATTCTCCCTTATTGCTTCTCGCAATAATATCCATTTTAAAAAGCAAAATTAGTGGAACTAATTTCTTAAATTATAGTTAACAATGAATTTGCGGGATGAACGTGACCAAACTTATTGACATGTTTCGAACTCTTGTGGAGATTTCATTTTCATTCTTTAACAAAGTTGAATCTTAAATGTCACCCTTCGGTCTATAGTCAACATCAAAAGATGAATTCAAATAAATAGTTGTTGCAAGCGAATGAATTCGTTCACAAATGTTATTTGTTTCTGGTAACTTCTGATACATTCTTTAATGGATTATAAGAAATGCTTTTTGATTCTTATAGAGACTAATTTATAAGGGATGATAGCGAATTAATTCCGTCTATGCATTTGCATAAATGAAGTGAGTAGACCTTCCGGTTTCCTTTGCATCTATAAATAGTTGTTATAAGGACATCAATGAATTCATTCACAAAACTTCTTCTGCCACCTTCTGATGCTATTTATGATAGGTTATTTCAATTGCTTTTTGGTTCTTATAGAGCTCGCTATCATTCATTATAGGATAAACATCCAGCCCATAATCGTTAAATGAACTGAGCACACCTTCCGATTTCCTTTGCCTTTCCATATCCTTTTCGCGGCACCATCTGTTCCCATTGTCTTCAAAGTTAGGAAGCTTAGTACTTTGTTGGAATAAAGTTTGGAAATAAACATAGGCTTTCCATATAATTGCGTCTTATAACTAAAAAAAGACAAGTAGAGATACTATAGTTACCCACGCCTCACCATTGAATGCTCTATATCGGCTTACAGTTATTCGTAAAACGACTTTACAAAATAAAATGTAAAGTGTGACAGGATCCGTCCTTATGCCGAAATACCTCAGGACACTAAATTTCATTAAAATATCTCCAAAATTGCGGTCTGTAGGTTGAAGAGAAGAAAACAAAAGGGAGAGGTGAAAGGGAAAGCTGTTCAGGAAGTGATTTTAAATCGATCGGTATAATCATAGTCGAGTTTATCTCAAGTCTTCATATATGTTGTATACATCCGCACATACTTAATGTAGTCCTGTACCCAAATGGAGCAGAATATAAAAAATCGGGTAACGATACTTTTAGTAAAATATAGACATCATCTCTCCATATTTATAATAGAGTCGTATACGTTTAATGGAGTAGGATTTTTTCATAAAGTAAACAAAAGAGTTTTGGCAAATAAACGCATTCCTAATAGTAATGAAAAGCAAAAACACGTGTAAGAGGACAAAAAAATAAAAGAATTAAATGTGCATACTCCATAAAAGGGAGACGGTGCGCTTATTTTTGCTATTTCCAAAATAAAATTTTTTGCGATATAGACGTGTGGGCGTTGCAGGCGTGTGCTTGGAAAAACTTAAGTCACTTTCAAATTCTTTTGCAAATCTGTACAAGATATCTTCATTCTGGGGAGACATCACAGTTACTACACAGCCGGGCAGGCGGACAGATGGACAGATGAACAAACAGGCGTATTTGGGCGTGTATTCCCAATTTAAACTTGGCTGAGAATTTATGGGGTTTTTGAAGGTTGCCACTGCGCGTTTTAAAGTTAAATTTTGATACACTATAATATTGAGTAGGCGTGGTCAATATTGCCATTTTTATGTAGCTGCAATGCTAATATTCAAATTGAAATTTTTGTACGTTTACCTGCTATAGTTTATGTGTAATGAGTAATAGATCAATTTTTGATTCCTTTTAAAAAGCAAAGGTATTTTCAGTTTGCGTGGCCTATTTTCAATACCAAAGTGCTTGCAAGAATTTCCAATGTTTCTGCCAAATTTGAAGACGATAGCTTAATTTTTGCGGCTAGGAATATGCTTACAACAGAGATAGATGGACAGACACACAGACGGACATGCTTAAATCGATTTAGAACTAAATCGATTGAGAATACATCGATTAAGAATACATTTAGTTTGTTGGGTTTCTAAAGTTTCCTGCTGGGCGTTGCAAACGTTTTGATAAAATAAATAAATATACCCCTCATCCTTCGCTGACGGCTACGATATTAAAAAAAAAACTCTCTTATTGCAATTATTATTGGTTATTATTGTTGATATAAGATTATAATGAGTGATAAATAGCGTCACTAACAAGATGACGGCATTATTGTTCTGATGAAATAATAAGTAATTTTTATCGAAATTGGGGGAAGAAGGTGCTATG